ATCAATAAATGGGCGCAGCTTGAGACCATACTCATAAGTGAAATAAATCAATCTTGCATGTGTGAATACCAAATAGTTTCCCTAATGTAAGTAATGATTCAAATATATAAAAATATGTGGTAATCATGATTCCCCATTATGTGGCCTTGAAGCCTTATAAAGTTTTCACTTATTAATTAGAAAGGCTTTATTCTGGGCTTCTTGATATAGAAATATTTGAAGCTATAGTATATGAAGTTTTACTCAAATATTTCAAGGAAAAAGACAGACACTATGGTAACTACTATTAAGTCGGGTTATTTGGTGGTGAAGCACTAGGTTGCTGAAACAGTCATGCTTTGACCTGTATTGTTATATTGTTATGTCCTCTTTTATCTCAATCTCTCCCTTATTCATTAAAAAAATTATTTAGTTATTTTTTATGTTTTTTTAATTAAGGGGAAAGTTTTAAAAATTAGCAGGATATATAATATATATATAACTTTTTTTGATTTCCTATTAACTTGTTTTGAAGTCCTGTAATACTCCCACGATCTTGTTTTGACTGATTAGAGTCTGTTCCATTCTGTATGATATTATCAAGTTTGAGGGTATAGGCAACTACTTTGAAGGCAATAAGATTCACCAAGATGCCCATTCTGGTTTGACTATTGTCTCCTTTGGAAGTCCTGTAATGTTTACAATGTTTAAGTTTTATTGGTCTTGTTCTCTACTGTTTTGTTCAACTTTATAATACCTAATGAGATAGACAATTCTTTTTAAGGAAACAAGAGGCATTATGGTAACCACTGTTGATAACCTTGTACTCTGTTCTTACATCATGTGCTATGTCTATCCTTGGTTTTGACTGACAGCTTTGTTTTGCCATATTTGACTTTATTATCTCCCAAAAAAAAGTAATAAGAACTAAGGAGTAATAAAACCCAAAATGTATAAATTTTGTTGTAAAACAGAGAGGGGAAAAAAAGTGCTCTAAAGGATACAACAGCAAGTGTGTTTAGGGGTGTTAAAAGCTGACCATATTAATGTTTTTGGTTGGATCATTGAACACAACTGTATGCAGTCTCACTGTTTGAAAGTCCACTTTGTATGCTTTGATACTGTGACTTGAGCAACTATGTCTAAGACGATAATATGTAATCTATTAACTGGTGATTTCTTACTGTTTTTTTTTTTGTAGTTCTGTATTACTTGTACTCTTATACCGCTTTGTTTTGTTTTGTTTTTTTTCTTTTTCCTTTCAAATAAAATTAAAAAAAGAAAAAAAGAAAAGTGGGGTGCAGGTCAGTGCATACAACTGCTATAGTTCAGTCCTGACGGTTGCACCCTTTTTCCTTTTTTGGTACCAGGAATCGAACTCAGGATGTTGTACTTTCCAGGCAGGAGCTTGTGCGATGAGCTACACCTCCAGCCCTTTGGCTTACATTCTTACCAACAGTTTTCGTTTTATTTTACTTTGTACTTACTCCCTAGGACCTGAATCTATACTGTCTATTATTTATGACTTTTGGTACAAAGACATTAAAGGCTGGCCATGTGTGGTAGTGCATCCCTGCGATCCCAGTGCTCCAGAAGCTGAGACAGGAGCATCACAAGTTTAGAGGTTGCCCTGAGCAAATTAATGAGTCCCTGTCTCAATAACTAACTAACTAACTAACTAACTAACTAACTAACTAAATAAATAAAGGTCTGGGTTATAGCTCGGTCATAGAGCGCCCTGGAGTTCATCCTTAACACCAGGGATAAAACACGCTATCCAAGGAGAACTCATGGTAGCACACACCTGTAATCCCAGCGCTCAGTAGGCTGAGGCAGGAAGATGGAGAGTTCAAGGCCAACCTGGGCTGCCTGGGTAGAAAAAAAACATGTTAAAGGGAAAGAATTGACCCAGGCAAAAATCTTAATAAAACAGAAGCGGCTGTGGTGTGGCAGGCTGCAGCCCCTCCAGGGGGAGAACCACCAGTGACTTCTGAGATCCACACCATGTTGGAACTTATGAAGCTGGGAAACCAAGCAACCAGCCTGCCTCCCTGCTAAGCAATAGTGAATCTTCTGGTGCACGACCTAGAGTCAAACATCCCACTTCCCCAACCCTCCTTCTCCTGTCCGCTCATTAGCAAATGGGAACCAGAAATCTGAGCATCTCCTGGGAGGCTGACCATAGCAAATAAGGGGGACTTCCTTCTACCATCTCTTTGAAGGTAAGTATTTTTATTACTGTTTTGCTCTATTCTGATTAATGGTACTGCTCTATTCAATATTCCGTTTTGGTAAGTTCTATAGTGTTCTGTATTTCATTTTATTTTGATATACATGATTGAAAGAACAACTATTGTAAAGATAACGAAATATACTGTGATACCTATTACGTTCCAGGCTGATGTTATCCCGGTCACCTGCTGTGAAGTTCTGTACCAATTTCACTACACAGTCTCAGTTGGCTTTACTCTGGCTTGTTCTGTTGTATTTTACTACTTTCAAAAAAAAAAAAAAATAGAAAAGCCCATTTGGATGAAAAAAAATCTTAAAAAGATCACAATATCAGAGGAGGCAGGAGAACGAAGAAAAAGGTTGTTGTGACTGTTCAGGAAAAAAGTACATGGGAGGCAAAAAGCACACGCACACACACACACACACACACACACACACACACACACACACACACAGAGCTGGGGCAGGCTGAATTTTTCTGAGTGCTCCTTGTAATCTTGCTGGCTACTTAAATTGAAATTCTCCCTGTCTCTCTCTCTCTCTGTCTATCTGTCTCTGTCTTTGTGTCTCTGTTTTTCTCTGTCTCTTTGTCTCTCTCGTTCTCTTTCTGTCTCTGTCTCTGTGTCTCTGTCTCTCTGCCTCTCTCACTCTCTCTGTCTCTGTCTCTCTGTCTCTCCCTCTGTCTCTCTGTCTCTGTCTCTCTGTGTCTGTCTGTCTGCCTTTCTCACTCTCTGTCTCTGTCTCTCTGTCTCTGTCTCTCCCTCTGTCCCTCTGTCCCTCTGTCTCTCTGTGTCTCACTGTCTGTCTCTCTCACTCCCTTTCTGTCTCTGTCTCTCTACCTCTCTGTCTCTGTCTCTCTCTGACACAAGGCTTCATTGCATAGCCCAGGCTCGCTGTTCCAGGCTGATCTTAACCCATTATGTAGTTCAGGCTGGGCCCAAACTGTCTGTGATCCTTCTGCTCTGCCTCCCAAGCGCTAGCATTCCATGTGTGTGCCATGGGGGGCTATTTAAATCCTTTCAGTTTCCTAGATGGGACTGGAGCTCACAGGGTTGTTGTAAGACTTTAGTGACTCACTCTGTGGAAAATGCTAAACTCAGGAGGCACAGTGGGTGCATAAAAGGACAACTTGTACTTGAAATGCAACGATTACTTAATTTTATTCTATTTTTTTTTGCAATGCTGAGAGCCAAATTCAGAGCCTGTGCATGCTAAGCAAGTGCTCTCTCACTGAGCCCACCTCCCACCCTGCAAATCCTGTTTCTGAGGAAATATTGTGCAGTCTGTATTGTAAAGGATGTCCCAGGGCAGATGACTGGCTGACTAATCATGACCTACTCTTTCCTTCTGCCTCACTAATGGAACTCTAGTTTTACTTAGGCAGTGCTCTCAGCTTTAAAACTGGTATTTCTGTCTCTTTGCAAATGCAGAGCATTGATTAGATATAATAAATATTTGGGTAGAATTTCTGGAGAAGCTATTTAACAGGAGTTAATTTAGGCATGGCATACTGTTTTGTTCTGACCCTCTTCTCCTTCTTACTACTGGAAACAGGATGTAATTGCTGGAGTTCCAGTAACTATTATGTGACCACGAGGCAATGTTAAGGATGCTCTAGGCAATAAGAATGGCAAAGAAGCCTCAGCCCTGTGACCACAGGGACGCACTGCCAGCCCTGTCTGTCTGCAGATTTTTTTTTTTATGTGAGAGAGAAAAGAAACCTCTACTTTGCTTAAGTCATAGTTATTTAAGGCTTTTGTTACTGGTAAACCATACTTCTTCCTGAATGTCACATATTCTTTCCAAAAGGTATTTAAGGATTGTAAAGCAATACCCCAGAGCAGGGATTGGCAAAGTTTCCTACTAAGAGGCCAGATGGTAACTCTTTCAGGCCTTGCAAAGCAGGTGGTCTGTGTGGCAGCTATTCTACACTGCCATTGTGGTGTGTGAGCAGCCACAGCGAACAGGCTCGAATAAACATGCAAGCCGGGCATAATCCCAGCGCTCTGGAGGCTGAGGCAGGAGGATTCCTGTTTTTAGGGACCAGCTTGAGCTACACAGGGAGCTCAAGGCCAGCCTGAACTACAGAACAAAACCACGTCTCAACAGAAACAAAACAAACAACAAACAAACAAAAAGCAGGACTTGGCCCCCAGGCCAAACTCACTCTGGCTAGAAAGGATGTATTTCCGGAAAAATAGCCCAAGATAGAAGCAATGTCAGCCTAACTATGTGTTTGCTAGTTTCTTGGACATAGCAGATTGGGTCTATAAGAGAATAAGACTAGGTGTGTGTGTGTGTGTGTGTGTGTGTGTGTGTGTGTGTGTGTGTTTTCAGAGCCACTGATAGTTTTAGGGGAAAAAAATGTAAAAACTGAAGTATGCTGCGCTTTGGTCAGCAGTGTGCCAGGGCGTGCACGGCCCTGGGGTGTGCGGTGGCTGAGTGCCTGTCACTCTGGGCAGGTGGGGGCAGCATGGTTGGCCACACAGGTGTGCAGGCTGTGGACGAGGCAGGAGACAAGGCTGCCACCTGTCCTGTCTGTGCAGTGCTGGGGACAGAACCCAGGGCCTCCCGCAGGCCTGGGAAGTGCTGTCCCAGGGAGCCGCCACCCCTGTGTAATGACACCGATCTCCTACCTCATATATGGTCAGAGCGAGGGCTGCCGGCCTCCACCTCTCCTCACTGTCTCCACCCCGACAGCTGTGCAGAGGCTCGAGCACGTGACCCAAGCACAACCTTGAAAGCCTCCGCTGGTGCCAAGAGAAGCACAGCGAAACAAAGGCCAGGGGCAGGGCCCATGCCAGCTGCCAGGGAGCCTGTGCCCGCCCCAACACTGCAGGCCGAGAGCAGCCAGCTCCGCTCCCCATGGTCAGCGCCCGCTTCTCTGCACCCTCTGCCACGGGGAGGATCCTGCAGGCCAGGGTCACCTGGTGGACTCGGCTCTGGGTCCTGGAGAGGGAAGGACCCTCTGCAGGGTGAGTCGGTACCTCTGGCCTAGGCGACTGCTCAGGACAGCACCCAAACTAACCGGTACTTGGTCCTGGATGCTGGTCAGCAGCGCTGGCTGCTAGGAAGCCCACGAGGGCAGAAAGTTTGAGTCCAGTGAGGGCAGGAAGTGGAGTCCCACCCCCTGCGCCCCTCCCGCTGACCCGTCCACCCCTCCCCTTCTGCTTGCAGCCTCTCCACCTGGCCAGAAAGCACTTCCCTCTTTTCTTAACCTGCCTGTTTCTCTCCCTAGGGCTTGATTTTTAAAAAATAATCATTTCTACCTGCTGGTTCTCTCAAGGATACAATGGGATTAAAAAGTAATGAAAGATACTAAAAATAAAAGCACCATGAAAGTAGTATTCGATAAACCACCAAATGTCACACACCCTGCTACATGTGAAAAGGACTCTTATTCAATATTAAAATCCTTTACGTCTTGATCTCAGCTACCTGGGAAGCTGAGACAGCAGGATAGTAAATCTGAGGTCAGCCAGGGCAACTTGGTAAGAGCTTTTTGCAAAATAAAAATAAAAGGGGCTGGGAACATACCCCCCCCCCTCAGTGGAACACTTGTTTTGCACATGCAAATAAGAATTTGATGGGTTATTTTTAAGGTGACAGATTGAGCTTTTGTCTCCTCATAAAACATTCATTTTTCTAGTCTGTATTATTTATCAAATATCATGACTATCAAGTTTTAAAAGTCAAGCTTTTAAAATTTATTTAATTTTTTGTTTTTTTTTTTGAGACAGGGTCTCTCTATGCAGTTCAGGCTGGCCTAGAGCTCATTTTGTAGCCTAGGCTGGTCTCGAATTTGCAATATCCTCCTGCCTCAGCCTCCTGAATGCTGGGATGACAGGCATGAGCCACCATGCCTGGCTCTGTCTTTTTGAGATAGGGTCTCAATATGTAGTTGAGGCTGGTCCTGAACTCACTTTGTAGCCCAGGCTGGCCTCCAGCTCATAGTGGTCCTTCTATGTCGCCCCCAAGTGCTGGGATTACAAGCATGTGTCACCATGCCTGGCCAAGCTTTTACTGACAAGCTCTTTGGCTGTCATTTTAAAAGGCAATAACCCGAATCAACAACAAAATGACTTTTTTACACTTCTTACTGTTACACCTGGTCATGATCTCTAAATGTATTTATCATGCATGCACACACACAATGGTGCTAACAAACGGGTGTGTTGGCACACATCTGTAATCTCAGCTATGGGAGGCAGAGGCAGTAGACAGATTGAGATTTAGCTGAGATTTAGATGAGATCCTGTTTCAAAATAAAAATAAAAAGGACTGGGTGGAGCACTTGCCTACTGCAAGGCTGTGAGTTTGAGCCTCATTACTGCAAAACAAAAGAAAACAAAGAAGCAAACAGTACGCATCGAACATGTGTGACCCTTGCTACTCCCCCGAATCTTACCCCACCCCAGCGGCGGCCGCTCTTGGTACCACTGCAAGCTCTAAAGGTTCACCATCCCCGCCCACACCTTTTGGTACTACTGGGCGCATGCTGTGCCATAAAGCCAGGCCTCACCCTGATTTATCAAGGGAAGGTCTGGGTGTTATGGGCTATACATAAACTCATGAAAGGAAATAAGGGCCTTTTCTTGAAGACAGGAAAATATTTAATAAATGCAGCTCTCAAAGCTCTACCGCATGTTGATGTGTTAAAGAACCTTCCTCACAGTGGGGCCCTGAGTGAACCCTCAGGCCCCACTGGCACCCAGACCCTGTCTCAGAGGGCGGCTTCTGCTGGCCAGAGGCAACATAGGCCCGTTCCATTCCTCTCTTTTGTGCTGTTGTTATTGATTTATGTTTTTCCTAACTCATCTCCTTCATCAGTGCTCTTTTTTTTTGAGACAAGGTCTTGTTAAGTTGCCCAGACTGGCCTCAAATTAGCAACTCTCCTCCTCTTCCTCCTGCCTCAGCCTCCCTAGTCTTGGGATTACGTGGGTGCACCTCAACATCTGCATCATCGATGCTCCAAGTTTTCTATTCCTCTACCTGTAACCACTTAGCAGTTCACCCTGAGCATCACTGGGGCAGCGCATATGTTTACATGCTGGCTGTCCTGAGTGGTGCTCTGACCGGTGTATTCTAGTCAGCGGATTCTTGTGTGCACAAAATACATTCAGACTTGTTATTTTTATATTCCTATTAGATTATAAAAATTAAGCTGGGCATGGTGGCACACTTCTGTAATCCCAGCACTTGGGAGGCTGAGGCAGGTGGATTGTGGCAAGTTTGAGACCAGCCTGGGCTACACAGTGAGCCCAAGGCCAGCCTGAACCGCATAGCAAGACCCTGTCTCAAAAAAGCCAAATAAAAAAAAAAATCATAAAAATTAACAAAATAGTGCAGTTTTTGGCCATCCTGTACTTAAATAATTGGATTGGTAAATGGTTGGTGGGTTCCCCTTCTGTACCCTCTCCTACCTGTTTCTTGATACCTGGGAACTAAGGAGAGAGAGCTGCTACAGTGCTCAGGACAGGAAGGCGGGGTTGCCCAGTCCAGAGGGAGCGAGATGGGAAGTGTGGTTTTTACACTGCTGGCCTCCCCTCTACTTTGCCTCTTCCTGTTTTATGAGTCTATTTTTCATGAGCCTCAGTCCCAATTAGCCCATCTTTCTTCTGAACTATGACGCCCTGCTTAGAGTGGGTCACGACCCATGGAGGACGCAGGGAAGAGAAAACCAAATTCATCTGACTGCTAGGTGATCTGAGATGACAGGGACAGCCAGGGGTAGCCTGAGATCAGGTCACACTGCAAAGGTGGAGATTTCAAAGCATCCCGACTGGACTCAAGCTTTTGAGACGTGAATCTGAGAAATTCTTTGCTACTCCAAAGTCTGGAGGCCAGGGCGGGGACTGCACTGCAGGTGACCAGAGAAATATTGCTTTTTAAAAGAGCATTAGGAAAGTTCTCTAATTGTTCAGTTTTATTCTGGCTGGACCACGTGGGGAGTCAAAGAATTAAAGTAGGGGAGAATGGACAAGCCTGTCCCCCAGCGAGGCTGGAGAAGTCTTGGTAGTGGTGTGGTGGCAGGGAGCCATTGCTCTGGGGAAAGGCAGAGAGAAGACGGGACTTGAGTTGCCTTTTAGGGAAGCAGCCGTACTAGCAATTCCAGTTTAAAAAGTAACTTTGCCAGCACAGACCAAGGCTTGGCTCTATCTGCTCCGCCACAAGGAGCACATTTTGGAATTCAACCCTGAGTCTCTCTGACACTCCTCTGCCTGCCACTTATGGCCTTTTTGTGTTGTAGGTCTCTAAAGTCTCAGAGGAAGAGGATAAGAGTTAGATAAGATAGATAATTATGAAAAACAGGGTTGGGGATTTAGCTCAGGACTAAACACCTGCCTGGCTAGCACAAGGTTGAGTTTGATTTCCGGTACCAAAAGCAAAACAAATAAACAAAAAACCCCAAGAAACAAAAAAACAAAGCTGTTCCATTACTCAAGGAACAAGAATACGGGCCCTATCATCAGGGGAGAAATGTGGCAGCATTTCAGGGTGACCTGTCAGGTTAGCTTCCCTGCCAGATTCTTTCCCGACTGCTCTCCCCCACATGCACAGCAATGGTGTGTTAGGAAGAGGTAGCCGGTCAAGAAGGAAGGGAGCCTATTGGTTCGAATGATGGTGCTCCCAGAAAAGCAGAAGCCTCCTGAAGGTCTGGCTTTTCTCTCGATTGCAGCAGGCATGGGATGAGCCTGCATTGGCTGGGGCAGGTGAGTCAGCTCCACTGTCCTGTCAAAGCATCTGTGGGCTGTAGTCGTGACACAGATGGATTCAGAGGTGTGGGATTTGCAGAGAGCAGCGGCCTTGGTATTGGGATGGATGAGTTTTCACAATCACCCCTGAGAGCAGAGCTCCAGCCTGAGAGCTGAGGTCCAGCTCGGTCGGCCGGGAGGCTGTCCTCTGGTCCTCTGCGGCTCGCAAGGCCCGTGAGATCACAGTGTGCTTCTCTGCAGCACAGTCTTTTCGGCGGCTCCCCCACCACCCCTCCCTTCCCCGTGGAGTCACCCCTGGGTGGGGGAAGACAGTGCTGTCCTCCTGATGTTCATTCTAAATGTCCGACCTTCCCTGCCCTTCATACCAGACAGCGGCCTGACTCACACTTGGCAGAGAACACTGGTGTGCCCCAAGGAGGACTCTCTTCCCACCATCACCTCCCCCGCCCTGACTACCTGTGCCACAGACGTTCCCGAGCCTGCCAGGTGCCTGCCACTCGGATTCTGGGAACCAGGCTCTGTGCTCTCTCCACTAGGCCTTCACTCTTCACTTGACTTTTCCTTTTCATCCTCAGATGTTTACTCTGTGTTTTTGCCTCTCTGTCATCATTTGCTGGGGGTTTAGCTCAGCAGCCTAAGCGCCTGTCTGGCAAGTGCAAGTTTGTGAGCTTGATCCCTGGTACCAGAAGATGGTTAGAATTCAAACGTAAAGTATGATTTCTACTAACCATGCACCATCTTAGAGTTAAGATATCCTGTCCAGCTGTGAATCAGGGCTGACCGTACTGCATTTTTTCCTCCACTGTGTCATGCACTGGCCAGATTAAAAGATTCTCTGTGTCCTGGGTGGGAGTAGAGTGGGACAGTGTGCGATATCTCTGTTCTACAGTGATGTACAGTTTCTTTTCTTTCTTTCTTTCTTCTTCTTCTTCTTTTTGTCTTTTTTTGAGATGGGGTCTCACTATGCAGTTTAGGCTGGCCTTGAGCTCACTTTGTAGCCCAGGCTGGTCTTGAACTCACAACGATCCTCCCCCATCAACCTCCAGAGTGCTGGGATTACAGGTGTGACCCAACACAGCCCGGTAAGTGATGTATAGTTTCAAGCTAATGTATTGTCTAGTTCTGGAATTTTCCACTCAGTAATTTTTGAGTAACTGAAGTCACGGAATATGGGGAAGGCAAACTGGGGGAGGCAAACTGCTACAGATGAAACCCCTATTTGTTCAGACCCCAAACTGCACCCAGTGCTCCATCCATAAGTCCTCTCCATTTTACTTTACAAATGCATTTCATGGGCCTGGGGATTTGGCTCATCAGCACAAGCACCTGCCTGTAAAGCGCAAGCTTGTGAGTTCGATCCCCAGCACACAAAAACACAACAAAAAGCATTTCTCAGTGGACCACTCCTCCACTTTCCACATTCTCCACCCAGATGGAAGCCTCTCTCCTTGAACCAGGGTTCCCCAGCTGATTTCTCTGTCTCTATTTATTCTCTACAAAGCAGCAAGTGATCTTTCTAAAGCAGGTCCTGAGTGGTGCGGTGACACATGTTTGTAATCCCAGCATGCAGGAGGCTAAGCAGGAGATCGCCTTGACCCTGCCTGCTTTCACAGCTCCTCCTCCTCTGCCACCTTGGGCCACTAAGGTACTGTCTTCCTGGCCTGCTTTTTGTTTACTGCACCTGCTAAACTCTATTGTCTTCCTAGGACAACTTATAAGTCCGCTCTCTTTGGAATATACCTGTCCACTGCATGCCTCCTCTCCTGAAAGGTGGCAGCTTTAATGACACTTGCTCAGACAGGCCGGCTCCACCCCGGGAGCTAAATGACCCCCCACCTTCCTGTTTACCTCCCTTTGATGTTTGGTGTGGCACTTAGGGTTCATGGAATGATCTTGTAGATCATCACTGATGTTGTCCATCTCCAGCTGCCCCCAAGTCCCACACCTTTAACCCTGAAGTCAACAGCTGACCTTGTCTACTACCGATGCCTAGAGCTCTACCTGGTACTCTGCGGGTGCTGAATATCTGTAGAAGTCTCCCAAATGCCTCTGGCTGGTATCCTATCTGTTGAGCATCCTTCAGGGAACAGGGAAGTCCTTGGAAAGTGGAGGCTGGGGTCTTGTTCAGCCTTTCCCCTTCCTGAGGCCTGTGTGCTGACTGTGGCCATCTGTCCCTTCCTGTTTTCGTCCCCATTTCTCAGTGGGTGCTGGGCTGGAGGCTGGTGGGAAGAGTGGGAGCTAGCATGTCAATGACAACAATCTGGGTTGATGGTATCACGTCTTAATGACTTCAGCTTAATGACACACTGGCTCAGTGGACTCTTGGAGGCTGGTAGTCTCATCTTGGCTTGCATTTCTGCTCTTTTCTGAGCTTCAATTAAGGGAGCAACAAAGATCCCTATCATGAGCCATGTGAGGTGATCTCATCAGCTAAGACAAATATTTTTTTCTGGTTATATTTATAGAATGCTCTCTTGTTTTCTCGGACAACCCTCGCTGGCATTGCTGCGTTTACCTTCTCTTCATCTAGCTGCCTGTGCAGGTCATGGCTTTTAGCTCATTGTGCTACATTTCTACCTCCTCTGTTTCTCTTCCCTTAGCTCTCATCTGTGTGGCTCTTTTCAAGTCCGTTTGTAATTTCCAGTCACCAAGGCAGTAACTGGAATTGTTTTAAAAAAAGAAAAAAGAAAAAATAGACAACCCCAGCTCCAGCTGAGTGCTTTGCAAAGATTTTTCCTCGCAGTGTCCTCCTGGGGAGGATGGAACTTGGACTTCCCTGCCCTTTTCTGACAGTCACGTAGTTCCTGATGCCAGGCCCCTTTCCACCCTTCACAGGGTAAAGGAGCAGAGTCCCCTCAGAACTCCACACTCAACCATGACCACCTTCGGGGGCAGCTCACAACCCTCAGTATCACAAGTAAGACCCGCACAGGGCTTGGCTAGGCATCTGCTGTCCAGCAGTTTTAGCTCCTCCCCCGGAGTCCAGTCTCTGGACGCCCTCAGGGCCCAGAAGGACCACATGTAAGCTGGGTTCTACTCCTGCAGGTTGGCTGCCGAGGATATTAGAAAAAGGCACCAAAACAAGAAGACCCTTGTGTGTGTCAGCTCTTCAGGCAATCTCAACACAGGAGCACTGATTCTTGATAGGTTGAAAAATATTATACTTTTTAATGTATAAAGCATGATATGCATGTAGCACACAAATAGATATACAGTGTAGTGAAGTTTTTTTTTTTTGTCTTTTGTCTTTTTGAGACAGGGTCTCACTATACAGTTCAGGCTGGTCTCAGATTTGCAATAATCCTCTTGCCTCAGCCTTCCTGAGTGCTGGGATTACAGGCATGTACCACCACACCTGGATAAAATTGCAAGTGAGTAATAATGATCAGGAAGATGTCTCAGAATCACTCTTTAGGCCAGGTGTGGCACACACCTATAATCCCAGCACCATGGAGGCTGAGGCAGGAGGATTGCTACGAATTCAAGGGTACCCTGAGCTACAAATGAGTTCAAGGGCAGCCTGAACTGTGTGGTGAAACTCTGTCTCAAAAAGACACTTCTGTCCCCCCATAACTCTTTAAGAAAGTGTTAAAGATAGACAGGTGAAGAAACTCTGACCTGGCACTTACTATGTTCTTGTCCTTTTCTGTCGTGACTCAAACGTACTAGTATCAAAGAACCTAAAACACATTCCCACTAAACGTGTGTCACAAATGTACAATCAGCTGAGTGGTATTTGCCCACTAACAAGATGAGACCTGGTGTTCTCACTGTGCAGCTGTGAGTCAGAGCAAGCAGAAGGGGATGCTGCTTGCTGAAAAACTTGGATTCAAAGACACAGGCACACCGTCTGCCAAAAGATCTTTTAAAATGGATTTTAGATGTGAGAGGTTTCCCGTGTGATTTAGAAATGGAAATGCTGGAATTCCTGAGATAGTTTGATCATTTGTGGTGAACCAGAACAATTTTTTTCAGTTAGGACAATTCTGGAAAAGCCAGGACTTGTGATTGTAGAGTCAGGGGACTCCTCAGTCTCCCTGAACTCAGAACCTCAGATTTTGGTGGTTTTGTCTTCCCAGACGACACAAATGGAGACTGACATGATTGTGGGTACGTGGATAGGAACAGGAAGGGTAGCAGCCACGAGTGTCCCAGTCCCTCCGGCTCTGTGTGTGTGTGTGTGTGTGTGTGTGTGTGTGTGCACAGGGGCACTAACCTGGGTTCACAGGTGAGCCTCAAGCCATCAAGTCAACCCGCCCTCCCCTGCCACTTTGTCTTGGCTTTATCCAGAATCTTGCCAGTGAACCATGTCCAGCTTTGGCTCTAAAAGTTAAAAAAATTTAAAACGAGCCTGGGAACAATTGGATACGGTCCACATAGGAACAAATAATGTGGCTGAATGCTTGGCAAATAGATCTTCTGCAAAGCCCAGTTAGGACTGCTTCACTTGGACTGCAGAGAGCAGAAGAGGAGATTATTTATATGGAGAGTAGCGATAAACTTATTTTTTCTGTCTTTTTGGAGGCAGATGGGATATAAATAATATGCATGCTTATTTATTTTTTCTTCTAAGGACCAACTAGAAAAAGAAGCTGTGCTTGGTTTGCAGTTTTAGAGCTGCAGGGTGACCGTAAGAAGGTGTCTGTATGTCGTTAGGTATTGCTCCTTTGGGGTACTTGGATTTGCTGCTTTTTTTTTTCTGGAAAATGTGCAAAAACAAGTCTCATCTAGGATAGTTTTGCTGCCATGGAGCTAGTTAAACTTTACCAAGGGATTGTGAATTAGGACATTGCGGAAACCAGAAAATATACTTCCTGTTTTCTGAAAGATTCTGACTTTAGGATTAGCCATTCTGATTTGTTTCATTTCGAGTTTATGCGGCAGGACAGGAAGATGTAGGCCTTGGGCATGGTCTGACCCTTGCTGGCTTTCTGACGTTTTACAAACCATACTGTTCTCGAATACAGTGTAATGATACAGTGTAATGATGACTTTCCTTCTTACTTCCCAGGTCATGAAGTGTGTCCTGTAACATAACACAGATGGCAGCAACCTATAAACAATTGGGCACGACACAAATTTAAGGATCTACCATTTTGCTGGATCAACTGTTCTTTAGGCTTTGACCAGAGGTTATTTTCAGATGAAAGTATGGATGAACACCTGATTCTCAGGTTTAAACTTCGAAACCTTGTGAAATCCATCCATTCAAACTCCCTGTCTGCCCACCTGGCTGCTCAGAGCTGCAGAGCGGCTGCTGTATGGTAGGTATTGGGTTGGGTCAGGACGGAGGAGCAGTAAACAGGCAATCAGAGGCCTGAGGTGCTGGAAGACCTCGTGTGAGGACCCAAGTCCAGCCTCAGAGGAGGACTTCCTGGAGGAAGTGATGCCCATCCTGTCCTGAGTGAAGGGTCAGTGCGGTAAAGAGGAGAGCTGGGGAGTCCTTGGGCCAAAGGAGCAGTGGTGTGAAAGATGGGTGCTTTGTTCCAGGCTTTGCAGTGTGAAGATCAGATCAAAACCTCAGAAATGTCACTCCTGATAGCTTTGAGAGGACTCCAAGGGGGCTGGACTATTGTCATGGATACCAACAGGAAGGCCCTAGTAGCAACCAAGGAAGACCAAAGTGGCCTCACTAAGAGAGAACAGGATGGCTGAGAGTGGAAATGCCAGTGAGGCTGCGACACTGAGCGGTGGGAATGCGGGCAGCTGGAGGCTGAGATCGGAAAGCGAAGGACCAGTGTCCACTGATGCCCAGGCCAGGGTGTGGCCCCAGCACACCATGGCTACATGGGAATGGCGGTGAAGGCCACTTTAAGTGAGGTCAGGGGCCTGGAAGACTTCTTCTCTGGCTTGAAAAAGTAGGATACACGTAAGGTAACAGTAAGGTAACGCTTACAGCTTTAACCCTTTGTAAGTGTACTGGATTAAGGATAAGAAGAGGAATTCGCGCATCTATAGTGCTGTGCCACCGTCATCCCTGTTCACCCACAGGACTCTTCTGCTCTTGCAAAACCAAAACTCTCCACTAAGCACAACTCTACGCTTCCCTCCATCCCACTGCCACTGACTTCTATGCCACCACTCTACAAATTTATGTCTCTATGCATTTGACCAGTCCAGGTGCCGCATATAAATGTTGTCACACCGTATTTCCTCTTTTTATCTGGCTTATTTCACTTACCATGATCTTCCCAAGTTTCAGTCATGTTGTAGCAAGTGTCAGAATTTCCTTCTTCATCAGGCATGTGAAACACAGCTGTAATTCCAGCATTTGGATACTGAGGCAGGAGATAGCTAAGAGTCAGAGATCAGGGCTGGGGATTTATCTTAGTGGCATAAGCACCTGCCAGGCAAGAGCAAAGTCATGAGTTCAATCCCCGGTGCCGAGAGAGAGAGAGAGAGAGAGAGAGAGAGAGAGAGAGAGAGAGAGAGAGAGAATCTTGAACTATATAGTGAGTTCAAGGCCAACCTGGACTGCATAGTGAGACCCTGTCTCAAAAAAAAAAAAAAAAAAAAGCCAAGTAATAATATATATATATTTCTACCCCTTTTAAATTTTTGAGTGTGGCCCACAATAAGAAATGTATTTTATTGTCAAGTATGACAGACCCAGCCTGTAATCTCAGCATTCTGGTAGCTGAGGCAGGAGGAATTCGAATCCAAGCCCAGCCTGGTCAAGTTAACAGCATCCTGTCTCAAAAAAAAAAAAAAGACTGAGGACGTAGCTCGGGGCTAAAGCTTGGGGTTCAGTCCCCAGCACTGCAAAAAAGAAAAAAAAAAAAAAAGGATATCTATACCATGATGTTCTGACCTGCAATACATATATATTTATGTTATTAAAATAATGTTATTAGCATATGTTTTATGTAATACATATTGAAATAAATGTTTTCCCCCAAACTACCTTTTATATAGGCAAAGTACTCTGACATTGTAGTGCCATTCTGTTTCTTTAAAAAGAATGTAGTTGGAGCTGGGGATTTAGCTCAGTAGCGCCTGCTTTTCAAGCGCAGGTTGGGAGTTCGATCCCTGGTACTGATTAAAAAAAAAAAAAAAAAAAAAAGAACGTAGCTGCAATCCTCCAACTCAGTTTCCCGACGGGCCAATGGGTGGTGAGCCCTGGTTTGTAAATCGTCCTCTGGTTGGTTCCGTGTTGAAGTTACCCGGATGACAGCAAGGGGTGGTGGGGTGGTGCCTAAGTGTTTAATGAGTAAGAAAGGGCAAAATCAGCTTCATGCGTTTGTCTTCATGAACTGCCTATTAAGTCTATTAAGTTGAGGTCCAAAGGATCAGTTTATATCTGGTATAAATAAAATAATTCATGGATTTGATGACTTTTCCCAGTAGTCCCCAACTGGCAGGGGTGTTTTGCTTTTGGTTATTCACCGCCAGTGACCACTCCACTCCATTTTTGTATTTTAAGGAAGAACCAAGCAAACTGCCCTTCCTATTCCTGGGTCGCAGGGTCTGATCTGGGGAGAGGGGGAGCGGAGGAGAACCTCCCAGGCGGTGGCTGTGATCTGCTATCTAGGAGAGAGCAGGCTGCACGTGGGGGTGCACCTCAACCAGAGGACAGAGCAGGCACTGGCAGTACTGAAGGCCAGAGGTCAGTCCCTATGTGGGAGTGTGGGTGCTGGGGTCATGGAGTGCAGCCATGATCTAAGAAGGTACAAGGGTTTCTCCATTGTCTCCCTGGGTACTACACCCCAAAACTATTTCTGTTAAACATTAGCCCTTGCAAGTGTGCAGAGAGCTTCGCCATCATTAATTAGCTAATTGCTGTGGCATCCCAAAGATGAGATCAGAATAGCAATAAAAAATTAAGTGGGGGTGTGAGGGCGGAAGAGAGGGGGAGGGAGGGGGATTGGCAGGGTGGGGAGCAGCTGGGAAGTCAGAGAGATGTTTGTATCTTCATCAAACATTAACCGCATTCTGCACAGCATGAACTGCTGAAGTTATGATAGGAATATGGCACGACGTCTGTTATTTGAAATGTTGGCCTCAGGCTTGGGGCACGGATGATCAGACCGAGTATTCTTTGGTGAGGACTTGTAGTTTGCAAAGGCCCAGTGATTGTAAAGAATATGACTTACTCAGAAAAGTAAAATTGAGATTGTTCCTGTTAAGAATGGCATGCTAGGTAGGGCTGACTTTGACAGGATTTTGAAGAAGCTGGGTGATTGGACCACTGAGAATTTCAGAGAACCCTAGGCTGCCCCAGTGCTTAGGCTGGGCCATTTGAGCACCAAAAACTAGAGCTCGGGATAGTGATAAAAGTGGGGGTGGAGCGGGGTGGGGCACGGCCCTGGCCTCACTTGTGCAAGCCCAGGCTGAGAAGGGTAGTATGTGTAAAACACTCTGCATGGTGGATTCAACTGCACTAGAACTTACCAGACTGTACGAAACACTTTATATTATATCGATGGTTGCATTTGGTCTTTATAACCCAGGAGGGAAGAGCAGATATTTCTGTATATAACGCTTCTGCCACACCTCCCAGGCCCACTCCCTTCCCCTGATAATAAAGGATCTGAGGACTGAAGGGTAACTGAACCTGGGTGTCCTGGCCCCCACCTAGGGTGGTCTCCTCTACTCCAGGACACAGGTTGGAGTCCTCACTCGCCCCTCCAGCTCTGCACCTTCTGCCCAGCCCTTCAGCCCACCCTTGTCAGGAGCAAATGGCCCAGTCAGGACGAAAGACCCCTTGGAGTTCCCCCCTGATGGCTCTCAGAGGCGGCCCCTGTGTGTCTGAGGGGCACTGAGAACTGTACCCTTCCTTTGATTCCACTTCAGGGAGGAAAGACTGGAGCCTTGCCTAAATGATGCCCTGCCCGGCCACCAACTCTGGGAGGAGCCTGGGGAGATGGAGTAATGTAGTGTGTGGTAGCTTTGGTGTCACAATTCTGGGTTAGAAATGTTTTACTGACATTAATTAGCTGCTAATTCCAGGCATATTCTTCACTTTTTATGAGTTTCAATCAAATGGTGATACAGTACTAACAGATACCCTAAGAGGATTGTTAGGGTTAAGCCTGGTGGTGTGGGCCTACAGTCCCAGCTACTCAAGAGGCTTAGGCAGGCAGATTACTTGAACCTAAAGAGATAGAGACCAGCTTGGGCAACATAGGAGGAGGAAGAGGAAAAGAAAGAAGAGGAAGAGAAAAGGGGAAAGAAAGATCACACCGGGGCCACAGTCTTCTGGTTTTCTTTCAGGGCCTGGGCCTGAGCTTTTCTGCTGATGAGTCCCACACTGCTGAGACTCATCCCTTTGCCTGAAAGTGCGTGGCTCCCAGGAAGGCTCCACCTGGCCTCTGCTCAGATTTCCAGGGTAGGAAGGGCTTCCAGGGGCCTCACACTCACTGTCCCTGCATCTTAGCAGATGCCCGTTGATCTACACCAAGCAGAGCAAGGAGGCGCCTGCTGGGCATCACTGCATTTTGCTCTCAGCCTTATTTCTCCAACCTGCCCCAGGACAGCCGGGGAGGGCGGAGTCCCAGCCAGTCTCCCAGCTGAACACTGACGGTCTCCACCTCTCTACTCCGATTGAATCCTACTGTTTGATTCTCACCTCTGTGTCCTCTCTGATGGCATCAGGTCCTCAGCTCTGCTGGGGGCTTGGGAGAGTGGGGTGCAGCTGAGTGGGCAGAGTTAGAAAGGGGACAGCTGCCATCGCCCTCCCAGTTTAAGAGAGGGAGGAGGAGGAGGAGAGAAAGGAAGGACACCATGTGCTCTTTTTTGGCAAACCAGAGAAACCTCAGTGTTTTCTTAGCCAAACGAGTACCCAAGGGGAGGCTTGGGGTGAAGGGTGGAGAGATGGGGGACAGTGAGAACTAAGAGGGAGGAGGAAGGAGGGTCAAGAGCATGGGTCTTTCAGGAAGTGATGTTTCATGTGACACAAATAGGCTTGGAAAATTGAGACCAGTGTCTTTTATTTTGCCTTGCTGGTAGAGACTTGGTTACTCATTAGGCCAAGGAGTTCTAATTATTTATTCATTCAACAAATATCCATAGACTGACACCCTGTGAATTAGGATTTGGAAACAGGGACGGATGTGGTGATGCGTGCCTGTAATCCCAGCATTCAGGAGGCTGAGGCAGGTGGATTGTCTCAAATTCAAGGCTGGCCTGGGTTACATAATGAATTTGAGGCAAGTGTGAAATACACAGCAAGACGCTGTCTCCGAACAAACAAAAACACACAAAAAGAAACAGAAGAAGAAAAAAGGCATTGGAAATGTAGAAATAAAGTATACAAGCCAGGCACGGTGGCTCATGCTTCCCAGCACTCGGGAAGCTGAGGCAGGAGGATCACTATGAGTTCAAGGCCAGCATCCATTACATAGTGAGTTCAAGGCCAGCCTGAACTTTAACCTGTCTTTCAAAAAATAAAAATAAAATGCACAGCTGAGGTCCCTGAAGTTGGTGGTTTGGTGGGAATTCACCTCAGCATGTGGGTAGTTAGCAACACAGGTAAATATAAGCGTACAGTGAACACAGGACTACACACCAAGAGCTCTTAACACATGTGACAGAGGAGACAGAGTTCAAGGAAGGTCTTCCTGGAAGAGGCGATAGATAGGCAAAGTCAGGAGGGTTCGACTTTCCAGGATGGACAGGGGGCTTCTGAGAGTCACTTATCCACTGGGCAGAGGTGTGCGGCCATCGGAATGGGGCATGTCTGTGGGTTGGTCTCTTGGACAGGTCACTTTGTCCTCCATACTGTCAACCAGCCCCTGTGCTTGGCACAGCTCCAAGGAGGGCTGTTTGTCTCGCAGGTTATGTCATGTGCTAGGTTCCTTTCCCATAGTTCTTCAGCTGTGCAGTGCGGTTGCCTTGATTACAATGCAGGACTCAAAAGCCTTCAAAGCAACCAGTCTTTTCCTTTTTTTTTTTTTTGTCTTTTTCGTTTTTATCGGTACCAGGGATCGAACTCACGACTGCCTGCTTGCAAGGCAGGTGCTTATGCCGCTGAGCTAAATCCCCAGCCCCAGCAACCTGTCTTTTAGGGGACAGTGTTGGTCTCCTGGTGGACGTTAATTCTCAGGCTCAGGTCTCTGTGGTCACAGTGGCCTGAGGTTCTGACGCAGAGCCTTCAAAAACTGTCTCAGCACACCACCTGCACCAAACTCACCACCTGCACCAAACTCACCACCTGCCACACCTGACATCCCTGCCCTGAGCACGCGTATGGGCTGGTAGAGGATGGAGACACCCTTGTGCCATCCCAAGTGCACTGAGGTCCCTCCTTCCTGGGGTGCCTTCTCTGTCCCTCAGAAAGCTCATCCCAAAACTCCTCGTGCTAGCAGGCTTTCCTTGCCACCCTAGCTCTGGAACGACTCTCCTTCCTTCTCTGAAGTCCTCTGGTCCAGATCACTCCAAAGCACTGCTTAAAGCCATGGCTTTGAGCTGGGGATTTAGCTCAGCAGCATATGCACCTGCCTTGCAAGAGTGTGATCGATCATGAGTTCAAACCCTGGTACCGGCGAAAAAAAAAACAAAACCAGAAACCATGGCTTCCCATTACGGTGAGAGTGAAATTCATTCTTCTGACCCATCCAGTGCCCCGCGCCATCTGGCCACAGCCGTGGCCTCTGGCTTCCGACCTCAGCCCATGCTCTGCCCTCCATCTGCTCAGATCTCAGACCCATCTGCTCTTTGATCTCAGACCCTCTGGACTCACATCCACCTCAGGCCTCTGCGCCCACCACCGTTCCTGCTGCTCAGACCCCTCTCCCTGACATCAGGGCTACCAGAAAGCAACAGCTAGGAGAGCAGAAGCTCTTCCTTTTGGCACGACATCGTCCCACCCCAAGAGACTCAGAGCAGTGCCAGCTATGTGGTGGGTGTTCAGTCAATGAACAGTGACTGAAAAGCACTCATAACATCCTGGCTTGCCCCGCCTGTCTTCTGTGTGCCCTGGCTC